TCAAACTCCTCATCTGTTTGTTGATCAGATAAATCTGATGACATAGGTGAACAACCTCCACTTGCAGTCTCTTCACGCTCTCTTAGTGTTTTCATGATCAAGGTCTTCAGCAAGTTCATAACTTGGACAGCATGCATCAATGCTGTTAATGGATCAGACATCTGCTCAAGGGAAAATCAAAAAGAATTGCTTCAATTGCATAAAACCAAATCAGCTACAAAACTACGACTAATCTATCATGCCTATTGTTTTTTGTAGGCAAGATTTTTTCCAAAACGCTTAAAAAGTGATGCATATATGCATATACCTGAGTCATGTTGGGAGCAAAAACCATAGCAATATTTCGTGCATTCATTTTGTTTGATTCCTCCTCCGCCACAACATCAGCCATAAGGTCAACAGCCCAATTCAGCAAAGCAGCTTCTGTAGGCTTCAGCTGCTTGACAAGTTCAACAGATTCCTCTTCAGTATTGCATTGAAGAACCTCTTCCGGTGAAAGGCTATCAAGTACTCCAGAAGGAAGCTCCCTAAACCAGGCTTTTATAAGGCCTGCAAGACAATGGACATCAATATTGTCGGGCACAATGCCCCTGTTGAGCTGGTCCCTTACTTGCTCCTCCTGGCTATTTTCAGGATTTATCCGGAAAATCCCTTCTGCCTACAAGATATATCAACAAGAAGACACAAAGCAGGAACTCAATTAGGATCCAAATGAGGATACCATAAGATATATGTATAAGGACACGAGACAATGTTCAAAAATCAACACCTTTAGGCCCCCTTGTGAGTATAATCGCTCTTGCATCAGCAATAAAATAGTAGGAATGCTATTCCCTTTTGAATCATAAGAGCACTGCATTGATTCTGCGGAGACGCCAAACACACTAGCACTGCAAAATAGACATGCACTAGTTAGGACCTTACCTCACTCAAAACATGGAAAAATTTGAAGATCGATAAAGTCAAATCCCAAAAATTTGGTATGAATCTACTCTCGTCCATAAATAAACCAAAAGGGTTTTTTTTAAGGTTCTCAAATACAATTCATATTCCTCTTCATCGTTCAAACCCCATTGAAATTAGTCTAAAACATCTTCATTTCAATTTGAATGCACCTCAAAATCTCACTCATAGATGAGGCTATTCTTGGTACCTAAAACAGCTCCATTTCCACTCTCTCAGATCTAAACTATCAAAAAGGGCAACTTTTGATGATAAATTTGAAAACTTTAGAACACCCAAATTAAGAAACTGCAACTAAAAGCAGAGGCAGCAGGGTTACCTAGCACTCGGAACACGGCATGGGATCTCTACTTGGAACTCAACGGGGAGACCCAGAAACCCATTGAAGCGATCAAACGTGACATGGGCTGTGTGCCGCACGTTGGTGGGCCATCCGATTTCCATTTGATGAACTGCGGACATCACATCATGATCCTGCCTATCAACACGGCAAGAAACCATGGATTTTCTCAATGCAGCCAAGAAAACCTCCAAGAGCGAGACCTGGTTCTGCTCTTCGTCACTGCTCTTGTCTCCCTTCATCCCCTTACTATTTCCACCGCCAGCACAGCCGCCGCCCTTGGTGACCATTACTAGACCTGTCATTTGAAGTTCCTAGTTGAACAGGTATTGTCTTGTGTCCTGAAGAAGTAATACAGTATTGTGCTTGTCCCCGCAGCAGGGTGTGGTGAAGGAAGGGGAGTTGAGACTTGAGAGATTTAGATTTGGAGGATGGATTTGAGTTGTTGCATTGAAGTTTGAAGAGAAGTCTTCGAAGTTGGAGAGTTTTAGTGGAGTTCAAACGTCCACTCGTTTCAAATTTCCAAGGGCTTACTTTATCTGCAGGGAGTCAGTAACCTAAGTCATTTTGACCAACAAGTTGGATGAAAATAACAATTCATGCCACTTGCACTATTTCATTAGATATACATGCAAGGAAACATCAAACATAAACAAACTCAGATCTATTGAGGCGATACCAATTGGTAGATATACACCCCACACCGGGATTCAACAACTGCTGAGCCTTTTGCAAATGTGCCCACAGAATGTGGGGACAAAATTGAATATTCAACTCTTTCAGGCTCGTAATTGTAAAATTCTAATTAGCATGAATTTATAGATAAATGAATGTTATTTTATAAGTTAAATTTAAAGATTAAATTTTATGATTAGTATTTACAGAAATTAATTCTATTAAATGGCACTTGGGCCTAATGGTTCGATGGCTTTAAGTTTTCTTGAAAGTGCATCCTCCCAACTCTTAGGTTGGGGATGGAACCCCCACCCCCTCATATGTACCCAGTTCAAAAAAAAAAAAATCTATTAAATGTACTAGAAATGTATATTAAAATCATATAAGAAGAAATTAGTTTTAAGATTTAAAAAAGTTAATTTGAAAACAC